ATATATATATATATATATATATATATTACCAATCTTCCCATTTATCCAATATTCTTTAACTAGCGTACCTTCTCATGACTATACTTTTGCTTACTCGTCCAAGTATTACGACATATGTTCTGCCGTGTAAGCCTTATGATGGCTCGATCTTGGCGGTGGCCGAGATACTCGTCGCTATTACGCCTCATGGGTATGACTACGGCTTGATCGACCCCTTACCATTCCTTTTAATGATAACCCATTTGTGGTCAGATTTTGACCCATACAACTAGGGGTATCAATGGTTTGGTTTGGTTCGGCTGGTTATTTTATAAATTTTGTACCATATCAATTTTTCTGTTATTCTAGTATGCATAACCAAAATCAGACTTTTCGTAACCATCCCAATCATATCAGTTTCTCTTTGGTATCGGTGCAGTTCGGTTAATTTTCGGTATTTTTTTAAAATGTCATGTAAAAGTCACTAGTAAAAATAGAATGCAATAACATACATACTTTTATAGGAGTTAGCAAAACTCTCTAGATATTTTTAAATTTTAGAAGGGTGGTGAATTAAGAAAATATGAAAGATGACCAGAGTATAGATACATCAAATACACTACAACAACGTAAAAGAAACTAAACAAATTAATATAAAGAAAATATAAATCACACGAATGAAAAGATATTAATCAAGCTGGGACTGAGACTCAAGAATAAAGTCTATAGAAGATTAAATATTAAAAGATAAATCTAAATCATACGAAAGAAAACATAATCAATACATGGTAGTTTGCTACTCATAATCGCTACAATACCTTGTGTCTTGCTAGTGAATATGCTGGAAATAATTTAATTTCAATGGGAGTAGCATAATAGGTTTGGAAATTATGATTTTGAGTTTATTACTTTTTGGTTTGTAATTATTTCATAATTCCAAGACCCAAGAAAATTTAATGTTTTATTATTTTTAAACTTAATCTATAAATATATTTTTCACATGTAAATTTATTTGGTACGGTTCGGTATTTTTATGGTTTATTTTCATAAAATAAAAAATCTATCCTAATTATCAGTACGGTTATAGATTTATATAAAAACCTACGATTTTATTAAAAGAACCTTAAAAATCAGCTCGATATGGTACGGTTCGGTCGGTTTAGTCGGTTTTTAAATATTCATTGACACCTCTACCTACCGCTACAACATTTAAGTTACCTCCTAAATAGAAAACTATCTAATCGGGTTTTAAACATGATTTATAGCTATGAATTACGTGACACTTGAATATTCTATTTTACGGAAAAAAGAAGGTACGTAGACAACTCTTCAAAAACGGAGTGAAATTTTAACCTCATCTTTCTTTGGTTGGTCTATCTTCTTTTAGAAGCAAAGAGTTGCTTGCTTGAAAGCCTTGACGAACAAACGTGAAAATTAAAGAACCTATCTACTTAATTTAAATAAAATAAAAATATAATGCAAATATACAAGTGAAAAAATCGCAATCCTCTTTAACCCTCCTACTGACTGAGAAAGAATTGCTACAAATTACAATATCCAATGCAGGTAATTCCACATCTAGAGAAATACCTCGAACTAATTTAACACAAAAATAAGAATCAGAAAAAATAAAAGGCTACTTTTTCCCATTATTAAAGAAATAAAAAAGAAAACCATAGTGTGAGCCACTCTTTTCAAGACTTGATCATCAGCTAGCTTTTCTCATGTGGATACAGGATATATGCTCGGAGGCAGGTGAAGCATACCGGTTTCAACTGAAGGCAATATTTTTATTGCGAAGCATAAATTTATAAAAATTACCATAGTAGATTCAGTACTATAAACTTTAAATATTGAACTCATAGAATTAAAATTTTAAACCGACCTTTGTATATGCTCATGCATATTAGTAGTACTTTGTTGATCAGACGCCTCTTCTTCTCTTGATTCCACCTCCTCCTCCGGCACAGGGGAAACAGTGCCAGACCCACCGCTCTCCGCCACCACCGGCGGTGAACCAGTCACCTGGGGACATGGCGGGTCAACCCGTCCATCAATACAAGACCCGCACTTGGTCTCAACCCATCCTTCAATGTCATAGTAACCACGACCCATTATCCCACGACCCGAACATATCTTACCTATCATCACAGCAATTGCTCCTAGAAAAGCTATCGCTACTAATACACCGATCACTGGTCCAACCAACCCGTGATCTCGATGATCCGAATAAGGTTTCGGGTTCAAAACCATTGGTGGTGGTTGCTGTAGAGGATCCATAACTTGTGTGGAGGACATTTTGTAGTATAAAGAAGGATAGCAAAATCAAGAAAATGAAAATTTCTTGAGGTTTTTTCTGATGATATTCTATTTCTTTTCAGGGCTGAAATAATGACAACTTGATTATTCTTCCATAGAATTTAATATTTAGAGGAAGTGTGTCTTTCTAATTAAATGGAAAGAAAATACCACTACTTCACCTTTCTACTGGACTGCATGCTAACATGAATAAAATGGTCTGACAATTTTTTGGTAGGAAGCGGTTTACTCCGAACTTTTTGATGAATGGGTTTGGGTGGTATAAATTTGAATTAGTCGAGACTCGAGCCAGTAATTGACGAATACCTGAAGATGTCTAAAGCAAAAAAGAAAAGTGATTTGAATGCAATATTAATCTTTAAGCAAAAGAACTAGAGCTGCTCATCAAAGATTGACTCTCTTTTGGAAAGTAAAGATGATCCATATTGCCATAACCTTAACAAGGAGTTAGATGCATGGTAAAATGAGAATGGGAAGCAAAAGAGTGAAGGTGGTAATGATTTTGTGGTTGAATAAACTAAGGAAAGAAGAAATGGGAAAGGTACACAAGTAAAAGTGGAAGAAAAAGGCCAGGTTGTTGAGACTTAGATTTATAGTACTATATATTAAGGTATGTTTGTGTTTTAGGGGTAAAGCTCAAGAAAAGGAACTTTATATATACTACTCATTATATATACAAAGGTTGAAAATAACAGGACAGCAAATGTCTAGGGTTTGG